TCATGTTTTAGGATTTTCGTAGAAGTCTTTATTTTCCTACTCCTAAGAAGTAGATCAGCAAGTCCTGAGAAGTGTAGTTTTGAGCACTAGACTCTCGAGTTTTCTATAACTATGTTATACAGGATGCTTTGTAGGTTACTAAAGTTCCTATTTTTAATATAGGAGTTACTTTAGAGAAAGTAAAATAATTTATTTAAAAAAAAAAGTGCCTCTAGAGGTAGTCCCATACCTATTAGATAGAATGTAGACATTTTAGAATTTATTGCATCCACAATTCAGGTTCTTAAATATCATGCTTTAATACATGAAGCATGAAGAGTTCACTATGATAATATCATACATGGTACACACCTTTCTGCATTTCTGGAAACTACTGTTTGGGAACATAGGAACTGAAATTTGTGCATGAATTTAGGATGTTTCTCAGTGTTTAAGATGACTAGAGAATCCAGATCGCCTTCTAAGAACAGAGCAAGAAATGTTATTTTGCTTATATTTTATTTTAGCCTTTATATTATAGTTTATTATATTATATTTTAGCCTTTATACCTCATCAAATGGTGCTGTAACTCTCATATTAGCAAGTATTTACTATTCTTAGCAAAAGGAAAAGACCTCAATATAGGGTTATTTCTTTTAACTCTTCTAGTTCTCCCAAGATATTATTTCTAAGCTATGTCTGAGTAGAGGAAAGGAATGGAAATGCTAGAATATTAGCACCAGCAATAGGAAGTAGTCAAGTAAATACAGTTTTGCTGTCATTAGTAGTTTCTTTTCTAAGATGTACCTCAGACTGAATGATACTGAGTGTTTTTATGGAAGCTAATTTCTGTGAAAAATCATGCCACAGACTAACAACCATCTAATTCTCAATGTGTGACTAGAATGCCATTGTTGGGAAATTGTTCAAAAGAATTTAATATAAAGGTAATATTAGATTGACTTCATTGTTAAAGCTGTATTCATTTACCTAAGGTACATTTGGGATGTGGAATTAAGTCAGTTCCTTGGATGCAAAGATCATTTGGCTTTTAGAAGTTGTATGACCAGCTACTTCCCACTTGCTCAACCAAAAGGTAAATGACATGGAAAGCGATCTGCTAATTAAGCCTAGATTTCGGAGTAGATTTGTCAGAAATAGGTAGGCATGAAAGGGGATGGTGGGAAATGCTCTGCCAATGTCAGCTTCCTCTTCACATTTGCTTATCAGGTAAAATAAATGTTTGCAGTCACTAGGGAAGGTCGTAACTTTTGCCTCTTGACCCAAGGACAGTTTTGCTTTCCAGATTTGAGGTCTTTCTTTGAAGTTGAACTACCTAAGTAAAATAGAAGTCTGCTTTTCTGAGAAGCCCCCACCCTACGTTTCTTGAGTACCTATTCGAAGAACAAGACATAATGTTTAATAACTAGAATTTGGCTATCCATCAGGACATTTAGATAGCTCTTAATAAATATGAAGAAACAAAGCCTTCTGACAATGATAGTATTCTAAATACATTTGTTTCAAGTTCTGATTTTTTTTATCTTCGTGAATAAGTGAATTGAAACAACAGTGCAGATGACCTGTGCACTGAAGATCTCTTTGTATCACAGAGAAACTTCACTGCATTGAAGAGAAAAGCTAGACTACAGAAAGTTCTGTCAAACCAAATTTGCTTTTTCTTTTAGAATAATTTTGAACATTCTTTGTGGAGCAAAGCTGTTCTTTCTCCTGGTAGCCAGAGGGAAACGCTTCCATTTCACTTTGAAATATTAACCTTTAAAGGTGTAACAAGAATACGTACTTGTATCTGTAAAGGAGAACATATAGAGATGCAATGGTCTTGGTAGAATATACCACCAGGCACTGTGTCACTTGCTGGGAATATGTAGGCTCTCCAAACCCAGCACTCTTCCCACCTTCATGAAGCTCTCAGCCTAGTAGAAGAGATAGTTATTTATCAAATAATCACACAATTTAAAACAGAAGCACAAAGTGTGACAAGGATGTGAAGGAGAGGAGCATATGGTACCAGAGTATATAACAGGGGATCTAGTTTAGATGGGGGGCCTCTCTGACCACTTGGCATTTAAAGATTTTCAGGTTCTTTTTACTTTGGGAGACACCTGGGTTTAAGAATGTGAAGAAGAACATTCCAGGCAGAGAGAACAGCATGTTAAAAGGTCCTGAGGTGGCAAGGAGGAAAGAAAACAGCCCAGTGTATCCAGTGAGTGAGAGGAGGTATGGTTCCATATGGGCCTAAAGAGCTATGTGTGGGTTAAAGTATGTAGGGCCTTAGAACCTATTAGGAAATTTGACTTTATTCTAAAAAGTGATGAAAAAAAAATCATTTCAGGGCCTTTAGCAGGTAGTCATTTGGAATAACATATTGGTCGTGGAGAGAGAAGTAAATGAATTATTTTTAAATGTTGAAAGAAGGGTTGCTAGGACTTGGTGATAGATTGGATGTGGGTAGGGAGATTCAGGGTCGAGAATGAGAGGTGTCAATACCTACAGCCAGATTCCTCCTGTGAGCAATTGGGTTAATGAAGGTGCTGTGTACTGAGAAGGGGAGCAGTAGAAGAATCTCTGCCTATGAAAATTTTATTCTATTATAATGTTACATATCACATATCACATATATTACACATATTTTTCAGTTAAGATGTATGCCAACATCATTCTTTCCTAGCCTACCCATGCAAAGATTCACTGATTATTAAGTAGTTATTTAGAGAAAAAAAATAAAAATGTAAATTATGTTGTAATAGTTTGTTCAAAATCTACTAAATAGTTCATCAGGTACAGGGATTCTGTCTTTCTTTTTTAAAAGACTTTATTTTATTTTATTTTATTTTATTATTTATTTATTTTTTATTATTTATTTATCAGAGAGAGAGCAATGAGCAGGGGGAGGGGCGGAGGGAGAGGGAGAGAGAGAATCTCAAGCAACTCCATGCTGAGCACGGAGCCCAACATGGGGCTTAATCTCACGATCCTGAGATCATGACCTGAGCCGAAACCAAGAGTCAGATGCTGAGCTGACTGAGCCACCCAGGTGCCCCATGGGATTCTGTCTGATTCATGCTTTCTCTTTCATAGTTTCTGGCTCATATTTCATTTTCAGTATTTGTTGAGTGAATAAATACCATCTGTAAAATACTTCCACACTGAGGTATAATCATGTTAATAAATTTTAATAATTATGATATGGTCTGAATGTCTCAAGGTATGTACTTTGTGCTGCAGGCAAGTGATGCAGAATATCTAGTTGCTCATAATGTTCTAATTCTTTTTAAATTTTGTTTTAGCTGTTGTTTACTCAAAATAGATCAATAATAGAATCTTCAGAGCTAAAAATATAAGTTATGAAAATGTGTTCCAGCTTTACCTTGGCCAGGGCCAAAATTAGGATTTGGGGTTGAGATCTTAAATCACTGTTTAATACTTCATGGGTTATATCATGTCATAGTCAAAAGAGAATGTAATGTTTTATAACTGGTATAAATAACATGAGATTAGGTCTCAATTTCTTTATTTGGGAAGCGTATATACCTTGCTTACATTTTTTGTGAATTTTGAGAATTGTAAAGTCCTCTTTTATAAAAATTGTAGATACGTATATAAAATACTATATATGTTTGCATGCAGATAAAGAGTAATTAAATTCTGATTATTAAAAGAAAGAAGGGGGGGCCTGCGTGGCTCAGTCAGTTAAGCATCTGACTTTGGCTCAGGTCATGATCTCAGGGTCCTGGGATCCAGCCCCACACTGGGCTCCCTGCTCAGCGGGAAGCCTGTTTCTCCCTCTGCTCCTCCCCCTGCTGGTGCTCTCTCTCTCTCTCTCTCAAATAAATAAATAAAATCTTTTTTTAAAATACATCATTTAAATCCTCACAATGCTGCTTTATGGTAAATGATATGACCCTCATTTTACATATGGTAAGACAGAAAAGTCAGAAGTTAGTTAATTTGGCCAAGATTTATACCCTGTTATATGTATCACCAGAGCCAGAGTTTCTGTTCCGTGTCTGGCATTAGTTCTCTGTGGTAGAGAGAGCAGAACAGAGGTGGCATAGTAGGGAGGCTACATTACCTCTCTGTGCCTCCATGACTTCATCTGTAAAATGGGAATAAGAACCAAAATAGTACCTATCTCAGAGGGCTGCTGTGAGGATTAAACGAGTTGATAGATGTAAAGCTCTATAACAGTGTCTGGCACGTAGTAAGTACCACCGTGTTGGATATATTTTTTTATATATATCCAGGATATATACCAGGTTAGCATGGCTTAATATGAATGAAATCGGTGAGGTTCCTTTGAATAAGTACGACGTGAAATGGAATTTGAAGCTTCCAGGTCTACTGCCGTGTATATTCCTGTAGTCCCCGAGAGGGGTTGACTGAGTAAAGCGTGGAACGCAGAGCATTCCAGGAATTATGGCTCAGATGTGCAAATGACCTGAGGTAGTAGAGAACCTGGGGAGTTCCTGAAATTGCAAGAGGGCTACTGTAGCTAGAACATCGAGCTGGGGAGGAGAGGAGACCAGAGAAGAGGGTGAGCCACACAGAGCCTCGTGGGCTTGTTGAGCACTTAGACTTTCTCCTAAAAACAAGGGGAACACATGGAAGAGTTTTAAGCAAATAAATATGACCTAAGTTTAGTTTTCAAAGGATCATTCTGAAAAATAAAATAAATAAAATTTAAAAAGGATCATTCTGGCTGTTGTGCGAAAAGTGAATTTTGGGGGAGGGGAGACAAGAGAGGATTCAAGGACATGGATTAGGTTTGCTGTAGTTGACAGAGTAAGAGAAACCATAGTAGTTGGACAAGAGTGATGGTGGGAGAAATGGAAAGTAGTAGATTAACTTGAGAATATATGTTGACGAGTTGTAAAATCAACCAGATTTTGTAAAGGACTGGATGTGGAGGGTGGGGTAAGAAAGGAAAATTTGTAATAGAAGATTCATGCTTCTGGTTTCAGTACCTGGATAAATGGTAACAATATTCTTTGGATAGGAAACATTGGAAGAAGAGGAAACTGTTGCAAGTTAGATTCTGGACACATTGAATTTAAACTGCCTCTGAGATATGCAAGTATATACATCAGTTAGGAGGCTGGACATAGGCGGCTGGAGCTCAGAGAAGAGGCCTGGCCCAAAGATGGACCTTGGGATATGAAGTCTTGGGAGTCAATGGTAAGAATGGAGGACTGGGACCTCGTGTTGAGGAATTCAAGCAATGAAGCTTTAAACAAAATAATACCTTTTAAAAGAAAAAAACCCACGAAAGTTCTAAAAAATAATAGCAGTGTTCATAATAAACACAAGTTTGGAAGATTTCCTAGAAGCCAGAAAGCAGATAGCACAGGAAAATCTGTGAAAGAGAAAAGGAACCGGGTAAACGAGGGTAAAAAAATTCACAGGGTAAGTGGGCTTTTTTTCAGAATGAGCCTGGCAACAACTCCAAATGAAATGAATGTATACAAAGAGAAGGTGTGTCTTATGGGCAACCAATGACCAGGTTTTCGCCAAGGAATCTCAGTTTGGACATTTTCATCTGTTTGGGCCACCACCTTTGCTCAAAGGTTAAGGCTGTGATCTAGTCTGGAAAGAAAGCCTGACTTGGGGTACCTGGGTGGCTCAGTCATTAAGCGCCTGCCTTCAGCTCAGGTCATGATCTCAGGGTCCTGGGATCGAGCCCCACATCGGGCTCCCTGCTCAGCGTGAGCCTGCTTCTCTCTCGGCCCCTGCCCCTCCCCCTGCTTATTTTCTCTCTTTCTCTCTCTCAAATAAACAAAATCATATATATATACATATACATATATGTGTGTGTATATATATATATATGTGTGTGTATATATATGTGTGTGTGTATATATATATATATTTAAAAAAGAAAGCCCGACTTTACAAATGGCACTGGGGCCTCCACAGCAGACAAAGAGGGATTACAAGCAGAAACAGAAGCTCCACCCAAGAGGAAAACACATGAGAACATTTTGCTCCCATAGAAACCTCTCCGAGAGTGCCTGCTGCATCCGGGAGTGGCGTTCTCCAGGATGCTCCACATAGACATCTGCAGAGAAGCCACTTACAGGACCTATAAGGGAGCAACCCATTAATGAAATGGGCCTGCAAGATTTAAGAGAAACTCCAAGTACTACCTAAGTTAACCACCATACTCTTCATTCATAAAGAAGAACAGACAACCTAGGATCACTAAGAACTTAAGGAAAACCAGCAAGTGAGAGAGGGACCAAGATGAACAAACAGAATTAACTCCAGAAAAATACATAATTTAGGGAACAAAAGGAGCTTTTGAAAACTTCCAGTCAATGTCTTTAGAAAGATTTGAGAAAATACTGCCTCTGTAAAAACAAACGAAAAGGGTAGGATGAAAAAAGAGGGAGAAGATGAAGACCAAATTATTACAAATTAAAAACATGATTGTGAAAAATAATTAGTGGACAGGTTGAAAAATAAGATAGATATAGCTTAAAAGGAAACTGTGTTATACAATGGAATATTATTCAGCCCTAAAGAAGAAGGAAATCTTGCCATTGGCAGCAACATGGATGGAGCTAGAGAGTATTCTGCTAAATGAAATAGGTCAGTCTGAGAAAGACACATATCATATGATTTCACTCATGTTTGGCATTTAAGAAACAAAACAAACAAGCAAAGGAGGATATAAAGAACGAGAGGCAAACCAAGAAATAGACTCGCAACTATAGAGAACAAGCTGGTGGTTACCAGAGGGGAGGGGGGTGGGAGGATGGGTGAAATAGGGGATGGGGATGAAGGAGGGCACTTGTCCTGATGAGTACCGGGTGACATATGGAAGTGCTGAATCACTATATTGCACACCTGAAACTAATATACTGTATGTCACCTCACTGGAATTTAAATAAAAACTTAAAAAACAAAGTAAACTATGTTTTTCTACTCTACTCAATACTTCTTCAAACAAATTTTAAGGGCAAAGTAAAGCTTTTTTTTCCAACGTGAAAGAACTCAGAGATTCTGTTTACAAACATGGATACATTGTGTGAAAAGAGTTATCCAGGTGGATTCCAGCACCATGCAAAATGAATTGAAGATAGAAGATGGAATGGTGTTCAGAGACATTGGCAGCTGAGTGAGATTCAGAGGGTGGAAAGTAAAAGGATGGAAAATTCACTTGCAATGTTTTACTAACAGAGGACCTCCAGATCATTTATTATGTAGTCAAATTTACCACTTGGTTCTTTAGAGCATACCATTTACACAATCATAATGTTGCCAGTGCTGATTGTTGGTTTTTAGTGTTCAAAACAACCTACAGAAAATTATGAGAGACTTCATTGTTTTACAGAAGAGTATGGAAGTATTATGAATCTCAACATTGTAAAAGTATTTCATTAACTAAAACAATTAGGAGCTTGTGAGAAGGATGGATAGAAGGAAGTATGCTAATTTCCTCACCTGTCATTCGTCTTAAGTCTAGAATTGATAAACCATGTCAGAGAGGTTTTAGTGAATAATTTAAATTTAGAATAACTAACAAGAACTAAAAATAGAAACGGTCATTCATAGGTCCTGCTCTTCGGTGAAACTGGTCTGTGTGATGGATGGAGGAATCTTTTTTACTCATTTAATACAAGTTTCTATTTTTTCTTTAACAGTAGGCGTATCTTCTAACCTCTCTTTTGGCTTTTATAATTTTTCTCTTTATCTTTATCATATTAATGAATATATTCATTTTTATTCCTTCTGCTTGAAATACTATGTGCTTTTTAAAAAATCTTGAGAGCTACTGTCTTTTTTTTTTTTGGTTCTGGACAATTCTCTGCCATTATGTCTTTTCTGTTTTGCTTCTCCCTGGCCTCATACTTCTCTCATAATAAGAGGGCAAGTGGAGTATGTTAGACTTCTTATTCTTGCTTCCCCACCATGTCTCTTAACTTCATATTTGTCTTTCTTTACCTATTTGTGATATAATTGAGTGATTTCCATGGATCTATCTTTCAGTTTCATGACTCTCCCTTCAGCTGAGTTCTCTTTATTTCAATGACTATTTTTTTTTTAATTTTTAAACTTCCTTTTTTGGCTCTTTTTCAAACCAGCCTGATCATCTTTTATAATGTTCTTATTTTATGGATGTTAGCTCTTATTTTGAATCTTCCTATTAGTTTTTACTATATAGTTTTAAAGTCCCTTTTAGATTGCTTTGCTAGCTCTAGTTACTCAGGTATGAATGAATCTTCTTTCTCATGCTTACTGACACTCATCCTGAGTTTCCACGTGTGTTCTGTGGCGTTTGTACTTGGGGTCGTGACCTCAGCAAGTGTGAGTTGCCTTCCACAGATGTGCTGCCTGGGCGCTGGATTGCGAAGGCATTCCCATGTGGTTTTATATTTGTCAGGGGACTTTTGGATTTCCTGAGTTCTGGAGCAATTGTTATGTTAGTTTCTGTGCTTGGGATATTCTTACCAAATAGGTAGTGCATATTCAGAACCACACCTTCCAAGAGTGAGAGTACTTCTACCACTCTAACAGTTCAACAAGAATTGTATCAACAGCATATGATGGATTCATAGCTTTTTTTTTTTAAACCCAATGCCAGTCCACCCCTTTTCACGTTATAGTTGAAGAAAATGAAGTTAAAAAAAAAAAAAAAAAAGGTGCCTGGATGGCTCAGTCGGTTAAGCGTCTGCCTTCAGCTCAGGTCATGATCCCAGGGTCCTGGGATCAATCCCCACATGGGTGTGTGTGGGGGGGGGGGGGGGGGTCCCTGCTCAGCGGGGAGCCTGCTTCTCCCCCTCCCTCTGCTCCTCCTCCTGCTCATGCGCACATGCACTCTTTCTCGCGCTCTCTCTCAAAAATAAATAAAATCTTAAAAAAAGGTTAACTTGTGCTGGGATCCAATGAATTAAAGGCAGAGCAGAACCTAAAAGCTCAGTCTCTTTGCTGTTAAAATGCATTTTAATTTTATATGGATGGTGACAGATGCTGATTCAAAGCTAAACCTGTGCTTCCTTTTGTTACATTCTTAGCTTTGGCTTCATGATCCATGTGCCTGGAAAGCATCTCCCTTGGCATGATCCTACCCTGTGTTGCATGTTATTAGGCATTCTGGTGATGTGAATTCTTTCATACCCAATTAGCAAATTCAAGCAGTAATTTTCCTATCTTACTGCTGGTAGAGACACTGTTAGATTCTGCCTTGTCAGATCTTTGTCAACAATTTACTTTCGTCTTCCTTTCTTTTAAAATCAGGCAATTTGCTTACAAATAGGAAAGCCTCTTGAAGATGGCTGCCAGGTTGTATTTTTTTTTTTCTTCCCACAGTGACTAGCAGAGCACCTGCCATGTTCATCTACATAGGTACTCTATAAATATCCGATGATTTAGTGATTTATTAAAGGACTTTCCTTCTTCTCTTTGATTTTCTGTTTTTGTATTGGGTAAAGGAAACTTGCCAGAAATAAATTTATAGGGCAGTGTTCAGGAGTGTACTTTCTTTTCATGTTTCTATAGAGACCATACACAAAGTAGTATGTCTTATTTTCACTTATCTAATTTAAAGGAAATTATGATTTATTTCGTGTTCTTCTTGCAGAAAGAGTGTTCTGAACACCAGCCTAAAGTGGAAGAGCCTGAGGCTGAAGGTGCAGTATACTGTTTACACTGAAGGAGCTTGTGTGTGGACAAGAGGTGCTGGCAGCTCAAATGGATCCCATGGAGCTGAGAAATGTCAACATTGAACCTGATGACGAGAGCGTCAGTGGAGAAAGTGCTCAAGATAGCTACACCGGGATGGGTAATTTAGAAAAGGCAGCAATGAGCAGGTATGGAATTAAAAATGACCAGGTTCCATGGTAAAATGACAGGTTTATGGATGTGAAAAACAAGGTTTTTGTCAGGAAGAATTGGACTCATTATCTATTTGCAAGATAACCATGACATTGATGTTCACACATCAACTCTGATCCTGAAGTTCATTATTATATCATCATTATATGTCAGTCTGATTTAGACTGTGTGTGACTAATTTAGAATTGAGGTTACAGTGTTCTAGTCCCCATTAATATAGAACATTCAAAGTTATATAACCTATCACTTCTTTCACCTTTTGGGCTATTTTCCCCTCAGATTTCTCTTCCTTTGACTGCCCCTTCGATGTTGCTGCATCTCCAGAATTCTGTGGTGATTCTTTGGTCACTAAAAGTGACATGTGAGCAAGCTCATTGACAACTCTCAGTTCCACTCACCGAATGTGTGCCATGTCTTCAGCCTGTTAGACTTCTCACTTCATTTCAGGTCACTCTATCCAACTATCTACCACACGTCTCTACAGGGTGCCTCATGTGTCTGAATTGCCTCATTTATAAAGTCAAACTTGGGATGTCTAATATTGAACTCCTGTATTTCTCTTCAAAATCTCCTCCTCCTCCAGTAATTGCCATCATGGTGAAAATCACCACTGTCTTGTAGCAACTCAGTCAAAAGACCCTGACTGTCAACCTCGAATCGTCCCTTCTCCCAGCCACACATCCAGTGTTTGATTATATCTGATTGGTTCTACCTCTTTAATGTTTCAAATCCACCCTCTTCTCTGTACCCATTCTACTGCCATCTTACTCTAGGACCTCATCATCTGTCACCTATTAGAACAGCCTTTCCTGTCCCTTGGTCTCCCTGTCTTACATTTTGCTCTCCTCCAACTAGCTCTTCACATCCCTGCAAAAGTAATCTTCTACAGTTGAGAGTAACTCAGGTTCCATCCCTTGGTAAAGTCTTTCAGTGGCTTCCCATTAGCTATAAGACAAAGATTGGGCCATACGTTGTTTGGCATGTAAGGCCCTTCTTGATTTGTCCCTGATCTGGCTCTCCTGTTCATACCTTGCTCTGCTCCCTTTTTGTAGGAAAGCCTTGTTGAGCCATTTCCAGCTCCCTGTGCCTTCACTCATTCTGCTCCATCAGCCTGGAATGCCCTCTTTTTGTGTCACTCATCCACCTTCCCCTTCCTCCATTGATACCATTCATCCTCCAAGACACAGCTCAAAGTTGGAACTCTGATGAAGCCTTCCCTCGGGTGAAAGTGACCACCCCTCCTTTGTGTGCCCGCTCTCCTCCATCATTCCACCACAACAGGCTACTGGCTTCTGTGGACCCAGCACATAGCATACTGCCTGGAACATAGTAGCTGCACAATAGACATTTGATAAAGGAAATTCATTTCTCACAAAATGGTATCAAACACAATGATGCATGACTTCAGACATTTAGAAGGAAATGTTTGACCAAATCTAGGCCTGAAGTAGAGAATATGACCCTCAAACAAGGACATCTCATTTCATTTCACAACATCCAGGAAAGACCATCAGGAGGAAGCCCTATTCTCCCTCCACAGACCTGTGCAGTCAGCTTGTGTGCCGATGGACTAGGGAGATGATGGAGATGTAACTCGTGGCATTTTCTAGGTTGAGCAACTCTTGACAAGGCACAGTGTGGCAGAACACAGGGCTTTGGGATCTGCAGAGTGCTTGCCTGAGTTGAGAGAAGATATTTACCTTCTCATGAGCTTCAGTGAAAAATGCAGCATGACCAACTAGCACCTACTTTTCTGAGGATTAATTACATGAATGCCTGAAAGATAGCTGATCCCCAATAAACTTTGGTTCTTTCCCCTTCACTTGTCACCTTTAGTAAATTGACCAATTCTGAGGGCTCTTGTTTCTGAGAAGGAGGCACATAGATATGAACTCAGCAGAGGTGGCTGAGCAGAGGGGGACACCATCCCGAGAACAGTCCTACAGGGTCATTCGATTTGGTCCTCTAAAAGCCACAGCGGAAAGTTGGGAATGCTTCTGTTAAGCTTCATACAATGTGTTCGGGACTGCTTACAGTGACTTAGCTTTTAACTCCTGACTCAGACCCAGTCATCATTTTGCAATTTTATAATTACTTTAAAAAGATGGGTTTGCTTATGTCTGGTGGGATTGATCCCTTCAATGTAAATTGTTGGGAAATTGAACATAATTCATTTATTTGGAATCATTATACTTATGTTTTCAATACATGCTGGGTTCAGTATCAAAACATTTAAGACATTCAAAACATTTCTCATATAGTTTATCCAGTCTTGTCATGTTTTATGATTACAATTCATCTCATGCCAAAATAAAAACATGTGAATGCCTTGAGAGAGAAAAATCTATTTACTTTCACATTTTAAATCTTAAAATCTACTCATGGACTAAAGGATTCTAAGTTATGGGTTGAGGTAAAGAAATAGAATGTTGGCATTCCAGAGAAAAATCTATTTACTTTCACATTTTAAATCTTAAAATCTACTCATGGACTAAAGGATTCTAAGTTATGGGTTGAGGTAAAGAAATAGAATGTTGGCATTCCAGAGTTTAAATCCAGATGACACTTTTGTTTGCTAACCCTTAGGCCTGTTTTAGGCTCCATTTTATCTTATTTTGTCTGTTTCCAACTATGAACATTATGTCCCAGTCTCCACATAGCAAGTCTATTAACTACAGACTATTAAAATAAAGCACAGAAAGGGAGCAGGGGGCGCAGGGGTTCGTGCAGGGATGGAAGAAAGCATTGGCAGGCATTATGCTTCCATGGAAAGAAGAGGAGAATGCCGGGAAATGTTCCTAGTTTGTCCACAGTGAATATCTAGAAAAGCCCATCAAACTTAGTAACTTCATCTGCTGGTCCTACCTACACTTGACATTGTTCTATAGTCTCCCAAAGTAACCTTGTTATCTCTTTCTCTCAAGATATTTTCAGGATTAGCTTGTTATAAAGGATAATTTGTACAGATCTCCTGTGATTACTAGTCAAGCCTTTTGGACACTTGGTTGTACTGGACCCATTTCCTTAGACCCCTGGCATATAACCGCAGGACCTGTACAGAATAGACATGGGCGGTGTCCAGCCTCTGCCTAAGTAGACCACAGTCACAGTGTTTGCTGATGGCAAAGACAGAAAGCCCTACTTCCTTCCCAGCTCTTCTACCAATTCATGGTTTTCCTTAACGTTTTTCTTAGTTTCTCATTGTCTAAATAGTTCGAGTATATCTTCAGTCATGAAAATCTGTAGACCCACACTCAAAAACAACCAAACACAACACAGAGCTACCACTGAACTACATTCCAGCAAGGGATATGTGAATACACAGGTGGAACCAAGAAAAAAGGAAAACACCAGCTATGGGGTCCTGCCTGGGACTGCAGGGCACCATGGAAGACCCTAGACTTGGAGTTGGGTGGGTGTGGGCACGTTACTTCCCTTTTCTGAGCCAGGGTCACCTCATCTGTAGAGCAGGGGCTTGAAAGTTCCTCTCATAGGGATATTTGAGCATCGGATGAGATGAAAACCACATGCCTAGGCACTTAATATTTATTGAATTAATACAATCATCTGATTATAGTGTGGTAGTAACAGAGAAAACTCAGTCACTGCTCTATACCTTCTCTTTGGGAGGGCTCAAAGTGAAAACAAAATTAGCTGTAATTATTCTTTTTTTTTGGCACAATTCTTGTGGGAAGAAGAAATATGGCTTAAAAAATTATTTTCTTCCTTCATAACTTTTCTCCTTCCCAAAGTATATTCATGAATGGAGCTCAGTTGTTGGTCTGGAAGGAACACTAGTATGAGGGAACAAAAGAAAGAAAAAAAAAGTTTTAAGTGCCTTGTTTTTCCTCCCCGATTCAGTGACTTAGATCACCTGAAACACAAATATAATTCAGAGCATTTACTTAGATATTTTTCCGTCATTTTCTTTTTTGTATGTGCATCCAGTCAATTTACTAATGAAGATGCTGAAAGTCAGAAATTCCTGACAAATGGATTTTTAGGGGAAAAGAAGCTGGCAGATTATGATGATGAACATGTAAGTGAATCTCTGCTTTTGGGCAGTAAACAGGACTCGAGGGTGCCTGATCTACCTAGGTCTCTGTGGGAAAACAGTGTGACTGAAATTTTCCAAGCCTTGATCAGCACATTCTCTGTTTATTCAGGCCCTTACTGGAATAAGGACTTGTTTTTCCTGTTCGCCATATGGCTACATAAATCATTTATGAAATTCATTTGTTTTTTGGAGAAATCATTCTAACCCAAATGTAATCTGCAATCAGACATGCTTTCCCTTCTTTACATTACCCAACTTGTATTTTCTTTTTTCTTTTTTTTTTAAGATTTTATTTATTTATTTGAGACAGAGAGAATGAGAGAGAGAGCACATGAGAGGGCAGAGGGTCAGAGGGAGAAGCAGACTCCCTGCTGAGCAGGGAGCCCGATGCGGCACTCGATCCCGGGACTCCAGGATCATGACCTGAGCCGAAGGCAGTCGCTTAACCAACTGAGCCACCCAGGCGCCCCCCAACTTGTATTTTCTATTTTTTACCCGAGACACCTGCTGAAACCAAGCATTCCTTTGAAAATTATATGCTTTTATTGAAATAACAACTTTTATTCACTGTGATTTTATCTCACTCTTCAATTTCGAACTGTAAGCTCCTCCAGTAAAAGATAATGTGAGAATAAGAATAATTTGAAAAGGGTTCATCCTTTGGCAAATAGTTGCTTAAAATGTGCCCTTTTTTCTTGAAGCATCCTGGAACCACGTCCTTCGGAATGTCTTCGTTCAACTTGAGCAATGCCATCATGGGCAGTGGAATCTTGGGCCTGTCCTATGCCATGGCCAACACGGGGATCATACTTTTTATGTAAGTACCTCTGGTTCAAAGCCCATGCACACCTGGTGTTCTTTCAATTAACAATCTCAAGTTTGATCTTTGTGAACAGGAATGATCTGAGAAAGTATTAGCATATTCTCGGGCTTCTGGATAAAACAGCAACCTGAGGACGAACCAGAGCAGACTAATCATGGTGTTTGTTCAACCAGCTGCCCCTAACCAACTGGTAGAAACTATATGTGCTCAACCACCCAAAGTACTGGAACAGCCCTACCAGTTCAAAGAAAGCATTTTACAAAGTGATTCACCGTAAAAAGATCTTTCCCAGAAGCAGATCCGACTGCATCACACTGTAAGGAAAAAAATCCCACCTCAAACCAGGCCTAGAGTCCTGCATGCTCTGGTCCCATCTTGTGCGCCATCCCCTACACCCCCTAGATGCCTGATGCAATGAGCACACTGGCCTTCTCTCCAACCCAGAAGGTGCCATATTCCCCTCTCACCAACGGGCCTTTGCACAAGGTCCTGGAATTCTTTTCCCTTTCTTCTTCATCTAGTTGACTCCTCATAGCAGAGCTCACCCTCCCCTGAGTTATGCCTTTCTTGGCCTCCATGCCTGGGACAAACACCTTACTTTACACTCCCCATAATTTTAATATTTTAGTGCAGTTGTCCAATTTATTTGGTTAGTATCTCTCTCCCTTGCTAGACTGTAATCTCCAGGGGATTGAGCCCACCTCTGTTTTCACTCACCACATGTCTGTATCCCCAAGACCTAGTACAGTGCTTGGCACAGAAATATTTGCAGAGTGGCCAGAGTTTATTCCTAAACCTATGTACTTGGTCAAAGGCTGCCTGAGGGTAGCAGGGTCACATAGCCGACCTGGAGGGCGGGCACCACATCGTCTGTGACAAACTGCCACAGATGTTTGTGTGCATCACGTACAGCCTGGGATTTTCTAAGACACAGTTGGCAGCAGTGGAATTCTTCACAGGAATAGTCTAATATTAGTCAGGCATCAGCGTGAATGCAGATCGCCATCCCTAATGCAACGCTAGAGCGTTAAATAGCTGTCTAAGAATGTAATGCTTATGTTATAAATATATGCTATTTATGTTTTGAGCACCATTTATGATTAGATAATCACACAGCTATTTGAGGGCTAAGGATCAGGCAGGGCTATAAATATTTATATTGTGTTACTGCTCTGATCTGTTTTGGGTATAATATTTTTTAGCTGAACGGGTTTTTATATTAACGTCACGTTTGAAACAAAGTAGTTTTTTTTCTTATTCTCTAAATCTTAATGGCTTAGAGATGTATTCATACACACAGTTGTATACTTTTGTAATAGGCACTATCTCTAAGACAGATTGCCTTCTCCAATTAGGAAGTTGTCATCAATCACTGATGAATAGAAACAAGAGACTCTTCCCCCGATCCTAGGCCTAGGGTCACAAGATCATTTTCAAGGGAGCAGAATATGCCACTTTTAAAACCGAGGGCTTCATTTCAGACCTAAACATTTAACAGATTAAACTGTCCAGAGCAATTACATTGTTGGACATCGTGAGGTATGTTCTGTGTATCCAAGAAGCACAGATTGAATTCGGCTATCCCCCTTAACTCACAGCGAGTTACACAGGATTTCACTGGTTTTACTTTTAGTATTTTCTGCCAAAGAAAGTATGTGTTTAGAATACAGGGAATGCTCATTATTTTTCCAGGAAATAAAATTCTGTAATCTGAATCTCATCTTTAAAAACAGGTTAAGTTCACAAGGCATATGGAAACATATATGAATAAGTCATTGATTAGCCAGTTCTGATAAACATTTTTTGTGGAAAACAAGAGCACAAGATAGCTAGAGTAGTTATAAAAATTTGTAACTCATGGCCCAAATATACATTTGCAACATTGACTTCATCAGGAATTACCAAAGAATTAGATCAATTGTGGGGAAAGTGTTTAATGTGTTCTGGTCATGTAAAACAAAGAATAAGGGTTTTATTTTGGTTTTGGTTTTTGCTTTAGATGTCAGGTGAAGTTTAGTATTATTCCTTTATTTGTTATATAGATGCTTTTATCTATGCTCTTATTTTTGCTTTCCAATTCTTGTTTTTGGAGAAACACTGATCACTCTATGCATAAAGAATCCGTACATGCCTTGGACATTGTAGAGGGTCCAGAGCCAGAAATGATTCTTTCTGACCCCAACACAAAAAGGCATTTTTCTGCACCCTATCCTTCCCTTTCTCTGTTTGCTCTATTATACAGGCAACGGCCCGACCCTCCGGCTCACACAGTATCTTGTTATCTCATGTGCAGGATCAGTAGTAATGCAGGTTAGACTGCATGCTCTGGCTTCGGTATTTCTAGATTTTACATTAAGGCTTAGCCAGCTTGTCAAATAGTCCTTCAATTATAAATGTTGTTGAGAATAGCACACAAATATGATGGACATATACCCATATGCTGAATAAGTAGATAGAGTATTTGCTAATTTTGCCATACATTTAGCATCTAAGTTATGAACCAAATTCGGCCAGTGGGGAATTTCCGGTGGTATATTTTAGCACATAAAATACAGCAAATTCCAGTTCTGTGACAGCAAAGGGTATGCGTGGAGTTCAGAAAAGAATTTCTCAGCTTCCCAAAAACCCACATGCTTTTGGAAAGTTAATGGTTGAAAGGACCAGTGCGATAGTTTATGATAATATCTAATGTGAGGATGTCTTATTTATTATAGAAATTTATTGTCTACTCTCTATTCCCTTCCCAGAATCATGCTGCTTGCCGTAGCAATATTATCACTCTACTCAGTTCACCTTTTATTAAAGACCGCCAAGGAAGGAGGTATGCTACCGCTCAAGTCCAAGATGTTCTATTTTGATTCTTGTTAAAGGGTAGTTCATTCTATTGCTCTCTAACTATAGGATTTTAGTCAATTTCACATTTCATTTTCTTCTGACCCCAATGACATGGCCTCTCAATGTTTTTAGTAATTAGGGTAGCTAAGAGAAGTGAAAGGCAACTGGCTCAGGTTCAAGCCAAATAGGAAAAAGGAGTCTTGATGGATGACAGAAATAACAGTTCTGACTTGCTGCACAGAGCTAAGATGAATGAAGCCATTGCTTCTTGTCTGGAGAACATTTAACATATTTTGTATTGGCTTCTGAGATTGCATCTTTGGGGTTTATAATTTCTGTGTGGTGTTTATGTACACATTTGAGACTCCAGTGTACAATTATAGAAATATTTTAGTCATTAAAACAATCCTTTTAAAAAGTTGTTCTTTTTTGTTTGTTTGTTTGTTTTTACTTCTTATTATAGGGTCTTTAATTTATGAAAAACTAGGGGAAAAGGCATTTGGATGGCCTGGGAAAATTGGAGCTTTTGTTTCCATTACAATGCAGAACATTGGAGGTAAGGGCATATAATATTCACTACCACTTAAACGTTCTAAAGAATGTTCAATAAACCAGAAAACTCTTACGGCAATGAACAAGCACTTTAAATACAGAAAAACAGCTGCTTTATATTCAGAAATTTTAAAAATAAGGATTCTTAAGTAGATTTGCTGTCCTTTAATGAAAAATAACAATATCTAAGAAAATATTATATAGGATCCCACCAAATGAATTCTAGAAGTAAAATAGAAAATAAAAGCTTTCTTGATTTCAAATGCTATTATGGCTTTCATTTAAATTTTAAAAATTAAATCATTAGTGCTTATTACTGTCTTTGTCAGAACAGTTGATGTTTCATATGTATGACTGAGTTTATTTCATAAAACTGAAAATTAAGTATCTGAAAGGCATAGCCAAATATGGGGGCGGGGGGTGGTTCCTTGAGACAGCCTTCACAGAGCCAGCCCATTGGAGTATGTCCTGAGAAGTTGTGCTAAAGCAAAAATCTGGCTGGATAGACATTCGGAGCATTATAATAAAACCACCAATTCCTTGGTTCTACAGATTCTTATAATTCCTACTAAATGATAATTTCTAGAGTAGAACCTAGGAATGTGTATTTTTAATAGTGTTCCAGGTGATATGTTTGCCCACCAGCTTCACAGGTCCTATGGAGTTTTTGACCCTCAGAAGGCATCCAGACCCCTAATTCCTATGTCCTACTGCCTATGTCTTCTTGCACGGCCTGGCATCTATCATCACACAGCGGTGCCTACTTCCTCACCTCCTCTCCAGTCCCCAAACCTGCTATTCCGTTCTTCTTTCTTTCTTCTCTCAATGAACAATACCAGCAGCCTCCAGTTTCTTGAGCCAAACATGATAGGTGTCATCCTAAACTTCTCCCTCCCTCCTTAATCCTGATCATTCAAATACCTACCCTTGTCCATTCTGCTTTTTACCTGCCTTGAAAAGTTCTCCTCTCCTTCTAGTCTCTCTGTCACAGTTCAGGTGGTCACTGTTTCTGCTCAGACTCTTGCAGTAGCCTTCTAACTGGGCTTCCTGCCTTGAGTTTCTCCTGCTCCTATCTCTGATTTATCCTCCAAATTCACTTTCTCAAATGCAAATCTAGTCTTGCTTCTCACAAGCATAAAATTCTTCGGCATGCCCTCATTATTTTCAGGTTAAAACTTAAACTCCTTGGCTTGTCATGTAAGGATCTCATCTTTCTTCTACCTACCTTTCTGATACCTTTCCTACTACCTCCATACCTACCTAGCTAGCTAGCTAGCTATCTTTTATATGTCCTGTCATACCATAACAAACATACTCAGTTCCCCTACTCTTGGAGTCCCCCAGCACCCCCCCCCCACAAGACACACATTCTTTCTGTTTGCTCCCATGACCCATCGCTTCTCTAGACTAGTAGGTACTAGTCCCTCCGGGTTCCCTTGGCCCTGTTTGTATGTATCTGACATGTTACTACTTTAAAAAAATATTTTCAAGCCCTTGAGTAGAGAATAGACTTTTGGAGTCTGATGCACCTAAATTAGAGTCTGTTTCTGTCATTGTCTGTGACTTTACTCATCTGAGTCTAATTTTTCCATCTATGAAAATGAGAATTACATTCCAGCTCACAAGGTCATTGTGAGGATGAAGTCAGATAACATATGGCACATAATAAGGGTTCAGTACATCCTTTCCTCCCTAGTTCTCGGATTCAATGTCTCTGGAGCCCTCCTGATTATTTTTTAAATGGGCATTTTTATAATTATAAGACAAATATATGCTAATTGTGAAAAACTAAAACATTACATAAATATATTAATTATAAAGAAATATTTATATAAGTCACCCTTAAAAATAGCTACTCCAAGGTTTTCTTCTATGCAAAATTTAATAAATATATTGTTACTGATAAAATTGGATCATCTTATAATACTGATTTGCAGCTTCCTTTTTTTACTTGACAATATGCCTTGAATGTATTTGCATATTATTCTTTTAAATGGCTTTTGAATTTTCCCTTGTGCAAATGTACCATAATGGGTTTACTGAATCCCTTATTGATATTGAATTGTTTCTAGTTTTTCACTATGACAAACAATTGCTGCAATAAATAAATTTGCACAGAGATCTTGCAAGGAGGTAACTCTTTTTAAATAAAATCATTGGAGTTATCTAGGATTTCTGGAATGCAGCAATTCTTCTAATAACTTTCATCCAACTATACCAGCTCCTGCTAATGGATGGTTGGTAAGCAGATAAGTAAAATCCAGGCAAATCTTAATGATTTGTATTTATTTCTTTTCATATTTGTATATATTAAGACTATAGACCTGGGTAGAATTTGGCAGTAATACCAGGATTGTTGCCTACATTTTACTGGTTTGAGGTCACAAGAATATAAGCTCCCCATCTCCCACCGAATAGACTGCTTTACATTTGGTTCAAATTTTCAGCCCTTTCAAGACTTAAACTGTCAGGCATTTCATAGGATCACCTCATAGTTGGTCTAATTTACTTGTTTGGATAACTGAAATAACTGGACATACACATATTTAGCCCTAAACCCAACGAGCTGAGAAGCAACAGCACTGTCTTTTGCTCAAAGTGTAACTACCATTATGCTTCTAAATAATGGACTAAACTATAAAATGGTCTCTCAATCAAGATGCACACACATGAAGGAAGTGTGGCTTTAAGGGAGTAAAAATTTCATATACCATTCCTGAAAGTGCTCTCATTTTGGTTACTCTATGTGATTAGTAGTTATATTAGCCTAAGGGAAATCACTTGTATTTCTGTATTTAGCAACTCCACATTTAGAAAGTTTAATTTTCTCAATCCCCTGAAAAATTAACATTTACCACAGATGTTTCAACATTAGCAGAATAATGTTGACATTACCCAGACAGGTCTGGATCATTCTAAATTTTCAAAGACCAAACACATTAACAGTGGTGACATCACTGAAAGTCAGCAATTAATAGCTCTAAAATTGAATGGTACCTCACTGAGCCAGTTAATCAGAAATATCTCCTCTGTTTGCGCTCTGTAAGATTTAGCGTTAGCCAAGGTCTTTGTAAAGATTAACCAAATAATATTTACAGAAGACACATCAGGTATCGTAAAAATCATTTCACTTCACAATAGAGAAGAAACACTGGCCTGAAGTCAGGGATCTTATATTTTGGATGTGGTCTGTTGTTTTCAATCTGCGAGATCCTGGACATGTCAAGAAAGCTTTCAAACATATCTATCCTCAGCTGTGGAATGAAAATAACCTATACCTTGCTGTTTTACATGGCTTTTTAGCGGATCCAATGGAGTAATCTGCAAGACTAAAACAATGTAGGGAATCATTATCACCATTATTACTTTTGTTGGAGGTTAAAAAAATCCTTTGAAACTATTAATAGTACAATTTGCAACTTAGATATCTGCTTTCACATGTCTGTGAGCAAAAATTCACCAGAAAAATGTAGCACACACTTACACATTGCAAAGCAAAACTTGTCAGTCTTATTTTTAATTTAACTTAAGAAAATGAATTTTATTTTTAACTTCCTGGACCCTGTGTCAAATTAGCATTATATTTCACGGCATGGATGGACTTGAGAAAGAGAAGTTGCGTCAATCCCTACAACTTTAGGCAACAGTATACGTTATGAATATGTATACATACATGTTTTTCCAGGGAGAGGGTTTATAGATTACATCAACAGATTTTTCAGAAGAGTACATGATAACATATCACTTATCACATATCATATCACTTACGTAAATGCTCAAGAACTTTTGCCATGTTGTATAATTTATTATTTGGCCAAAGGAAGACTGGGATATAGAGAAAACAAATTCACTGACCAAGGTGGGAGAAGCTATCATCTCTTACATTCTTTTATCAATCCAGCCAGCCTCTAGTTGCGACGATCCATGCTCTGAGGCGTTGGGTGCCCCTTGGGGAGGTTACAGAGGACAACACCAATGCCCACCTGGGGAACTGCCCTCTCTCCTTTTGTGGCCAGACCCCTGCCCAAGTGATGGACGCTAAAACAGGCACTCCGTACAGGCCATGATGACTTATAACGAATTAGGGGGAAACTTTGAAAGAGCAACATCACTGAAAACCTCAGAGCTGGATTAAAAACAGAATCAGCCTTGATACTGTTAGGAAAGGTCCCTGTGAAAGAGCCAGAGGGCCAAATATCTATTTTTGAAAAGAACTTGGAAGCCGTACAAAACACACTGGGTGGCTTTTCTTTCCATTTGGGGGATTAGATGCTCATCTTACCAGAAGACTGAATGTCCCAAATGCCGGGACTTCTCACAACTTGCCTGTGACTTTAGTGCTATGTGCACCACTAAGCTGTCACGTTTTCCATTTTAGCAATGTCCAGCTACCTCTTTATCATTAAATATGAACTACCTGAAGTAATCAGAGCATTCATGGGACTTGAAGAAAATACTGGGTATGTCATGTTCTCTCTGTAACATCCGTTGACTCATTCTAATTGGTCTTTTCTGATCCTGATTTTTTCTTTCTTCCTTTTTTTTTTTTTTTTTTGAGCGAGAGAGTGGGGTGGGGAGAGACAGAAGGAGAGAGAATCTTAAGCAGACTCTATGGCCAGCATGGAGCCCAACGCAGGGTTCGATCTCACAACGCTGAGATCATGAATCAAGTGTTGCACATTTAAATTTTTTTTTTACGATTTTATTTATTTATTTGCGAGAGAGACAATGAGAGACAGAGAGCATGAGAGGGAGGAGGGTCAGAGGGAGAAGCAGGCTCCCTGATGAGCAGGGAGCCCGATGCGGGATTCGATCCAGGGACTCCAGGATCATGACCTGAGCCGAAGGCAGTCGCTTAACCAACTGAGCCACCCAGGTGCCCCTCAAGTGTTGCACATTTAACCAACTGAGCCACCCAGGCACATCCTAATATTCTTGCCGCTCTTTCTCTTTCAGAGAATGGTACCTCAATGGCAACTACCTCGTCATATTTGTGTCTCTTGGAATCATTCTTCCACTTTCTCTTCTTAAAAATTTAGGTAAAGTCATTTTTAATTTTTATTTTCATATTCTAATAGGTGGGCCAATTGTAGATACCATATTCACCTTCCAGAATTTCTCTGCTAACTTTTAGGTTACCTTGGTTATACCAGTGGATTTTCTCTTACCTGCATGGTGTTTTTTGTCAGTGTGGTAAGTGATTTATTGACATGATCCCTATAGGTTGGTGAGCATGAGACATTAGACCCTGAATTAGTGTCCTCATTTTTGTTCAAGCACTTCACTAGCATGAAATATTTCTTGCATCACAAACCATTTTCTTGTATTCTAATTTGGAATGAGGAAAGGACAGTCATGAGTTTAAAAATAGTTGAGTTAGAATGTCAAGGCCATGGCTAATACTATGTTCAAAGCACACAGGATGTATATTTGGACAAAAGGAATCCTTCAAGCAGTGATATGACAATGACCTTCCATTTAGAAAGGTGGAGGAAGAAGTGAAGAGTCCCAGAAGAGAAATAAGTAGGCTATAGAATTATCCACATCTACATCAATCTGTCATTTTCTCCTGTATGTTCCACCCATGAGACGAGGGCGACCCCAGTGGAATTAAAAAAGAAATTCTTCTCCCCACTGCCCCCACTCCCCACCAAAAGGGAGAGATTTTTTTTTTTTTGTAATATCATGGATGCCAAAATGTATATGCATTTCCCTAAAAAGTCAAAGGAGAATTTTTTATATTTATTTATATTAGTTTGAAGAACTAAAAGATATGAAGTGTAGCAAGGCAATAATCACCTTTCTCACAGAATACGAATGACGCTTAGGATGGATTCATGCAAAATACCGTCCTGTTGACTCTCAGGGGCAACCATCGTTCCAACTGTTTCCTTAGAGCAGAGGCTAGAGGGAGTCTCCGTTGTCCATTAGCCTAGAAGGAATCCTCAGCAGACGCTCCTCACCTCTACCCCATAAGCCACGTATATGGATTTTTGTTTCATTGTTTTCCTCAAAAGGCTGATTTTTTTTTTTTTTTTTTTATGGCTGGGCCTAGGTGATTTACAAGAAATTCCAAATACCCTGCCCTCTGCCTGTTCTGGATCACAATGTTGGAAATCTGACATTCAACAATACACTTCCAGTGCACATGGTAATGCTGCCTAACAACTCCGAGAGTAGTGGGGTGAACTTCATGATGGATTACACCCACCAGAATCCTGCAGGTCTAGATGAGAACCAGGCCAAGGGCTCTCTTCATGGCAGCGGAGTGGAGTACGAAGCACACAGTGATGACAAGTGTCAACCCAAATACTTTGTATTCAACTCCCGGGTAAGTGATGAGCCTAATACTACAGCCGAATCTATTTTATAAATGGAGATGGTTTGGGGTCGTCATCTGTTTGGGAATGCTACACCGGCGTTGTTATCTTTGTTTTTCAGACGGCCTACGCGATTCCTATCCTAGCGTTTGCTTTTGTGTGCCATCCAGAGGTCCTTCCCATCTACAGTGAACTTAAAGAGTAAGGCAGCCTTCATGTTAGCATTCTAATTTGTTTTGAAAATGTGCTTCATATGTTCAAAGGTGCCTTATATGGAAACATGATTAATGGCTTTTTCTCCAGAGAAAGTTTGTGGTACATTCCACTCATCAGGGATGTACTTTAACCAGAAAAGGTGTGAATCAGCCCCCTCACTGCACTACCTTATTTGCTTCCTTCCCTCCTGTTTCTCCATCCTGTGATCCACAAGAGGGGCTTAGGGCAGGGGAAGGAGGAGCCAATGGCTAGAAGAATTTTGGCAGGCATGAGGAATTTGAAGTTGAATTTTGCTGGGAATGTCATCACCTCAACTGGAAATGACCATAGCCATGAAGACCAAAAATCATGGTTAAATTACGCTAAGCCATTGAGTTCATTTGTGATCAGTCCCTAACCCTCGTCTAGAAGACATTCACCACGAGGATGTGCCAAACCTGGCCTTCATTGTCTTATGTGTACAGTGGAGACACTGGCTAACCAATCTTGTTTCTTGTAGCTGAAATTCTATGGTTCAATTATTTTGATGTCTTTGGTTTACTTGGAAAATCACATGTAGCAGTTACCCTACACTTGACTTTAGCCAAAGATCGAGAAGTGATAGCAGTCACTTCGGAGGCCTGACAATTGACCTTAAGCAGCTGGGTGCTCTCCAGAATGGTTTTCAGAAGCTGTCCAGGCTTCCTGGTAGTCTGGACTCATGAAAGTTGTGCTTTGCTGATTCTAGTAGGTTTGTGTCCTCATTAAACCCCTCTCACTGTGAAATATGAACGCTTTGCACATTAGGAGCCAGTTTGATCTCTATGTTAATTATATTCTTGAATACTCAGTAGACAAGTATATTTATCAACACAAAATAAATTAGTCTTCTAGGAAAACGGTTGTCCCTAAGACTAAAGGAGTAGTGCTTAAGAAAAATGGAAACAGGGGCACCTGGGTGGCTCAGTCAGTTAAGTATCTGACTCTTGATTTCAGCTCAGGTCATGATCTCAGGGTCGTGAGATGGAGCCCTGCATCGGGCTCTGCCCTCAGCGGGGAGTCTGCTGGAGATTCTCTCTCTCACTCTCCCCCTCCCCCGCTCGTGTTTTCTCTCTCTCTCTCTCTCTCAAATAAATACATCTTAAAAAAAAAGAGAGAGAAGAGAAAAATGGAAACAAATCCTTCATGGCTTTCAAAGACAAATCTAAATAAGCTATGTTTCTGCACTAGAAATGTGGTTTTATAAAAGCAAACACAGGCATACATTCTTTCACTATTTTTTAAAAATTTTAATGATAAAAAGTGGTACTTTCACAAGTTAAAAAAAAAAAAACCCACAAAGCTTGGTGTTTTCTTTTCAGTCGGTCCCGGAGGAAGATGCAAACCGTGTCAAATATTTCCATCACGGGGATGCTCGTCATGTACCTCCTTGCTGCCCTCTTTGGTTACCTAACCTTCTACGGTAGGTCACTCTGTCAAAGTCATTCTCTTTGTGCAAATCCTAGTTGGACTGATCATTAACCTGGTTGGGTATAATTCTTTTAATCGCCCTCTCTAAGCAGCATGATCTCTAGTACACATAATCAATTAACATGCTATGTTAGCCTTGTCACTTGACCTAAGAAAATGGGACCTGAACCAGCCTGGCCAACAAGTTACAACCATTTGTGAATTCACACATATTTTATGAAAACCAGCCCTCTCATTTAAGTTATTTTCCCTAAGGGGTAGATTAGATTTCTTTGGCTTGACTCCCTAGGCCATCTCAAGCTAGAAGCAATGACAGTGAGTCCAATTGTACATTGTAAAGCTCTTTTGGTAGAATAACTAACTACCAAACAAGTGGTAGGAAAAGTACAAAGTCCTAGAGTTGGAACCTGCTTTTTGTTTACCAGGCAAGTGGAATCTGGGGGCTTGGAGCATTAGGCAAGTTTTTTGCCTCATCCCATTCTATTCTGTTATAGTGAATGGTTTCCAAAGAAAAGAAGACACGACAGAATTCCCTCCAATCTGGGAATGTACTACCAAAAACAAAGAAAAGCAACTATGGACACATTAGATTATGCCTAAAACAATTTGCCTATGGCATCTTAATGGACACAAAAGAAGTAGGATTGTTACAGCCCTATAGACATATTTCAGGGATTCTAACATTGACCTGTTGTCACAAATCAATGTTAGCAACATAAATCTATCTTTTATATAAACCTCTTTAACTTTTTCATTTAGTTTTCTTTTTCCCGATTCAGTAAGTTAGATTCAAGACAAATTGTGGAGGAAAAGACCAGGGAGGAGGCACCATTTATTTGGTTTTTTTTTTTTCCATTTGACTAATATTTGGCTATTAACCAAGCACTTACTTTAGATTGGGCATGAACTCTTTGTTGGATTGTGAATTAATAAAAAATCAGATCAAAACTATGGAAGGTATTTTTACTGCCCCCCCCCCCCCCGCCCCGTCTGGTTTGGAGGGGAGTAAGGAGAAAAAAAAAAAAAGTCAAACTACATCTGATTCTATAAGCATCTCCAGTCATTTGTGTCTGGAATTCTGAATGAATACATTTTCTAGGTGGGTGGCATCTTAATCTTAGATCAATATCCATTAAGAGACCCTGTAAAAATCATGCTAATTCATCCTTGCATGTCCTTATACAGACCCTAATGAGTCTCTTAAGACAAGCGAAAGCTTGAAAAATCAAGTCTGTATCAGTGTCATAATGAAGTCATAACTGTTGAACTTGAAAAAAAATGTTAGAGTTCATTTGTCCTAAGGTTTCCAATACTAGGTTCAGAGAAGCTGCATTAAAGCTAACTGGGAAGGTGGGAGTGGAGGGGGGTTGGCAGGATGTGAGGGACAGGCTGGTGGGGCTTGACTCTTTCATCCCCTTCAGCAGAGCACCTCAGCCTGTCACCTCTTTTGCAAGGCTTCCCGTACAGCAGAGACAGACTTATCTTGAAGTAAATGAGCTAGAGAGGCATCTGCATAATTTGATTCTAGCTTCTGCAACTTTATGAGCTTCAGGGTTTCCTTGTTCATTTGAAGAAAAGTCACACAACTAATAAGCTCAGAGACAGGATTAAGACAGAGGTGTCTAGATTCCCACACCTGGGGGTTTTTGTTTGTTTTTTTCCCCATTGAACTGTGTTCCCTTTGTAAAATGTTACTGTCGGTATGGACTTGACAGCACCAAGTGAACCCATTCTCTTCTTCGTCTTTGTAGGAGAAGTTGAAGATGAACTACTACACGCTTACAGCAAAGTCTACACATTCGACACCCCTCTCCTCATGGTACGCCTGGCGGTCCTTGTGGCTGTGACGTTAACGGTACCCATTGTCCTGTTCCCAGTAAGTACATGACATTTTGATGGAAGAATCCTGCTTAACCTTGGCTAGTACATATGTTCCCATTTGACGCAGCTTTCATTGTGATGTGAGTTTGCAATTGCAATGTCTGAAGACATTTTTATATAGCACTTTGAAGCCATTTAAAATGGACAGTTTAATATGTAAGCTATAACAAATATTTTTAGATGTTAAACACTTTTAAAATATAGGAGGAAAAAAAATCACCAACTGTATTTCTATATTTATTTTCCAGGTTTATTGAAGTCAAAATTTATTGTTAGGCTCAAATTCAAAAAGCAGATCCTGAGTTTCTATCTTGTGGGTTAGTAGAAATGAGTAGGAGTTCATAGAACTTCTGAAACTTGAAAGCCAAAACCACATTACTTTGCAGTTCATTGAGTTTTCACCAGTTCTGAAGGTATTTAATTCCCTCCCACCCCCACTGTGTTGTGCTTCAGTAACATTCAAAAGTCGCCTTCATCTGACTCCTTGGAGACCAATGAGAAGGGGAATCCTCTTAAGTAAATTACATGCTAGAACTAAATTTCTTGAAAAATAGTTATATTACCCATCATATATCTCTTCTACAATCCCCAAAACTGATACACATCCTCTGCCAGACTCCTACTGGGATCCCCCCGTCTTGGCATTTGCCTTTGGCGTCACTCGTTCTGAGATCACAGGGCAGGGCTGGTTGAAGAGATTTGGACTGCGTGAGTTAAAACCACCACCTATGGATAAACACAAGTCTGCATTCTCCTGCCAACTGTTCTCCTTTCATAAATACTGAATTTACTCATTCATTTCAGGGGGAAAAATAAGCAACCTAGTAACCAGCGCCATCCTGTACAGAATGTTCCATACGGGGCCCAGCATACGAGGACTACTCCTATAATGACACTGTGGTCACTTTAAATGCAGCTTGTGTGCTGAAATATTTTTTGACACATTCCTTTTTCATGAGTGCATGAAATCAGATCCTTATTACCAGGAGGGCCAATATTTTACTCTTAAATAATATCTTGCCTCTCATGTGTCTGAAAGTATTTCAAACGACATGCACACAGCTTAAACCTAAAATCAGCTCCATCGTGGGTACAAGGCAGAAGACAGCTGTAGACAGAATGTGTACCATAGGGTAAGATTTCCAAGCAAACACTGTCTGTGAAGAAAGAATGTTGAAGCCCTTCTTTTTGTGTGTAAAGATATCACCAACTAATTTTTGGCACACAGTAGGCACTCCCATCATTATTGAATCAAAGTAATGTACAAAAGAAATCTGTTATGTGCTTCTGTATTGTTTTCTTCATAAGCCCCAAATATAGTGCTTTCATGTTGTGGTCTTGGGAGATTAATGGCCTTGGCCGTGGTCACGAAGCTAGTCAGTCACAGTTGACTAATGCAGTGCTCCTAGCAGGACCCTGATGGCTGGTGTCAAGATAATGGGAAGTGGAAGTCAGCCTTTCATCTACTGATGGTCATTTCACCTCAACATTTGAAATCTAGATCTCCCCATAGAAGCTCTTTCTCTCATGACAGATAAGGCACTGGTAGAAGTCAGACCGTCAAGAATAGTAGTAGGTAGGAAACCTCTCCATGAGATGAACCTTAGAATCAAGACTAGGAGAACCAAATTTCAGAAAAATAACTGTTCTCCTTAAGTAAGAATTTTCACCCAACATTGACATTTATGAAACATTTTGCACCTCATTCTGTCTCTGACCTTACACTGTTACATTGAGATCATCTGTGTAAGTGCCCACCTTCTCCCCTGGGTCAAAAGTCCTGGAGGTTAGGGATGTGCTCAGTGACTGGCTCAGGAGCTCAGCAGTGGTTGCTAAGAAAAACGGTCTCCAGAGGAATCTTGCCTTTTCTGGAGATGTATAAACTGCCTTTTCTGACAAAAGCAGAGGCTGTTCCCCTTGCTGACATTTGCCATGAACTTCAGTTTGGGTGAGGATCTGGGCTAAATGAACCAAGCCTCCATGGGTCTGATGGAGGGCAAAAAAAGCCTCCTTGTCCCAGTCAAACCCACAAGGCTACGTTCAGACACTTTCCCCCTAAAGCGTGAGAAGTTGGTGGTGTGTTTGTTCCTTACGACTTACAGCCACGACTTTGAACGTGGCAAACACTGAGTCATGCATGCCAGGGTTCTCCTGAGGGTTTCTTTTATTAAGAAACTCTTGACCAATAAGAAATTTATTTATTTTGCTTTGATATCCCCACATACAAATAATAAAAACAAACAAAACCTAATCTATTAGGATTAAAACCTCTCAATTTTAGGTATAAATTTATAACTTCTTTCAACAAATGATAAGTGGGCTCTTTTTCTTAGGAACCCAAGAAGAGACAAAGGTGTTGCTGTTGTTGGGTGGTTGGATGGATTTTCCTTTGATTATTCCATTTATTATCTTTATTTTCTCCAGTTAGGTCAGTTTTTTCCTTCTTAATGAAAGACACACATTGAGTGCAAAAATGATTATCGAGCAAATGAATAAATGAAGTGAACTGCTTTTTCACTAGTGTCCCAACATTTCTGTTTCTAGTTTTGCAGTGGTGGTGGTATGGCAAGGTTGTCCATTATGGGACTGCACTTCCTTCCCAGAGACTGTGAACACCATTTTCAGCTTGTACTTCTCTTTATGCAGTAAAGTTCACACATCACCATGAAAAACAGAAAACCAGATAATCCTAATGAGTTTATTAAGAACACAGACTCACATTCCATTTGCCATACCTTAAAAAAAAAAAAAAATCACATCTCAGATTCTCTAGCTATTTATATTTTACAATAGTGAAATCATTCTTTTCATTCATGCTGCCTTCAGATCCCCCATTAGATATAGGCATAGAAATATTGCAAATATTGCCATGAACTGGAATAGAGTAGTGGTCCACAGATATTTCCAACACACTTGTCCTAAGCAATGTTACAAAGTGAAACTGTGATTCACTTCTAAACCATAGGACTGATTTCTTTTTTTAAGAGTTCAGACCTAACGACGGTTCCCACTTTCTACTCTGCCTCGCATTGGGTCCCCGGATTCGAACATAGCACCCCCTCACAGACTCCTATTCCGAATACACTCTCTGGAAATAGCAGATGTTTTTTTCTAGAGCTGCCAAGGACCTTTCTGGAATCATTCTGGGTCAGAGGCCATGGCCGTTGCTATGGACATTCCCCCCCGCCCCATGGCATCTGACCCACATTTCCAGGTTCTTATCAGTTTGTGTCAGTAGAGAAAAGGCGCTTAGATAAGTGGAACAGCAGGCAGTGCATTGTGGGAAACAGGCCAGACTTGCCTCGCTCCTGACATAGGTAAACAGAGCTGCGGAGGACCTATTGATCAGGCTCACCTCTCAAGGCAGCATTTTAACATAGAATGACCAGCAGGTTTTCTTCTATTCTGTTCCACCACCACCTCCCACCAGCCACAGCCTGCTGTCTCCCAGTTTGCCCTCTTACTAGGAATGCACTGACAGCTCCAAATGCCTCCAGTTCTGTTGGGGATTTTGTTCTTCTTTCTTTGCCGTGAGGAGCCAGCTTTCTCTATTTGTTCTGACCATGATTCCTGTAAACCTTCTGTACTCTTCCATCATCAGGCCCTACTCTTTCCAGGAGCGATGAGACCATAGGAAACTGCATTCACATTCAGGGACCCTGTACATATAGGTTTACCTCTAACTCAGCCCCTTGAATATACAATATTATTTTAACAAAAGACAAAACAAAAAAAACAAAAAAAAAAAACATACATATGACCTCTGCCTGAAAATAACCTGCATGCTACTTGTTCATTCTATACATTTAGCACTTTCAGACAAATCCTTCAGCCATCTGGATGTACTGTAGAAAGCTCATTTTTAAGCCTAATGAGACCAGTTTGGACAAGATTGATTAAGCACGAATTGTGGATCATAATGTAGAATTTATGGGCAGCCGAGGAAAATATTCTCAAACCATTTGCTTTCTTCAGCCTACTTTTCAGAGCGAGTTTCATAATTTTATCTAATCCAATTTTTAAAATCCTTTACAAAGTCACTCTTAAACCATTTCCAGAGACTATCTGGCTTGCCATTCTGGAAATGAAATTGCTTTTGAAACCTAAACAGATGGCGTTAATTTTTGGTGCAGTGGTATGAAAGGAATGTCCCATTAGACACTACAAGTTTTTGTCATGCATACATGTGTTTCTAAATGCATTTTACATTTTCTCTCTCAAATGAGTTCCCATCTCTCCACCAGTAAGAGACTTCGGAAGTAAAATTTTCGGAAGAAAAATCAACCCCAGCATTTCTAAAAATGGGAAATCCTAGCTTAACTGAAGTGTTCACTTAGTGGAATTAGCCTACTGGCTTTTCAATAAGTCAAAAAATGTCCTCTAAAAGATTCCAAAGATAAGAGTATTTTCTACTTTGTTAAGCTGTTCAAGCAGGCAGGGCATTCCCTCTGCCCACAAGGATCTTTTTATCCGGTTACAGCACAGTAACTTGAAAGGCTGCTACAAAGGGAGCCTCTCTTGACCCTTCACCTACTTATTGTAGCTGCCCAAATAGGGCTGATGTCTGTCAAGGCTCCTGAAGGGAGGGCAGGGATTTGTCTGTTCAATTTAATTCAACATTTATTTAGTGCCTGCTGTGTGCAAGACACCAAACTAGAAACTTTGAAGAATGTTAAAATTATTAGGTCCTATTCTTTGACTTTTGTGCATTTATAATCTATAATTAGGAAGGGGGGAGGTAAAAGGGGAAAAAAAGGAGCAAATACAAAGAGTATCATATTTTTAAAACATTATGTGGCAAAAATGCTAAATACAATACTAAATTAAAAAAAAAAAACCCAGATTTCTAAAAATTCTGTTCACGAGCAGTATATAAATTAATTCAGTGCTTGCCCTTAATACGTAATCCAGTCTAAAGACACATGTTTAGAAACCAACAAGGGTTTTAGAATGTCCCTAAATTCTATGCCTTACCTGTTATTTTATCTCTTTCTGAGACCTTTGAGAAAAAAATCTGAAAGCTGAGAAAGTGAGCACAAGGAAAATACTCTTTCAAACATATGTCAGCATCAGGTTGCACAATAATATCAATGTACTTAATAATCGACCTGCATGCTTAAAAATGGGTAAGATGGTAAATATTATGTATATTTTACCACAATAATGAAATCTTGAAAGGTAAATAAGCATCGAGATCTTTTTTGGGAGAAAAAGGAAAAATGCAGAAGATGCTTTAGAGGGATGAGAATATTTGAAATTGTAGATAAAAATCAACTTTGAACTTTGTTGTTGCAGATTCGTACATCAGTGACCACGCTCTTATTTCCCAGAAGACCCTTCAGTTGGATAAGACATTTCTTGATTGCAGCCATACTTCTTGCACTGAATAATGTTTTGGTCATCCTTGTGCCAACTATAAAATACATCTTTGGATTCATAGGTAAGTTTGAGAAAAGCTTTTATTTAGTCAGCTTGGGCTGATACCTAAAGGGCAGACAGGGAGCCGGTGGATGGGAGGTCAAGGATCCCTCGTCCATCTTAGGCTCATGGGATTCCTATTAGCCCAGCTGGCTCCAGCTTGTCACCTCCCCTCCCTCACAGGTGACTCTGGAATTATTCATAGGATCAGGAAAAAAAACCCAAAAAACCTTAGAGGCCATCTAATCCAGCTGCCTTTTCTGACAGATAGGAAATTGAGCCCCATAGAAGTCAAGTCATATACAGCTTCTCCACCCACCCCCATCCAAAAGTCGAGCATTCCTATGAAATCTTTTGTAAGCATAAAAGGCGTAAAGCAAGAAGCAATTACCATTCATTTATGTGGGAAAATTTTTGAGCATCCCAGACACAAAAAATAACCTCCTTGGGCTTTTCTGATACCTTAGGATACATATTGGTAACAAATGCAGAAAGTAAATTGAGATGAAACCAAAAAAACAAAACAAAACAACAACAACAACAAAAAACACAGATATTCAGACATAGTTCAAAAGCTATGAGAGCTTAATGCCAAGATGGAGTGTAGCTCCCAGGGAGAGAACTTGGTGACACCACTCCTGCTGCTCAGGGTGCGCTGCCTCTATTCACATTCACTGCAGAACAAAGTCTGAAGGCTCTTTTCACTTTTTTGCCCTTTTTTCTGAAAGGCAAAAATCCTCTTCAGATTCCTTTCAGTTAGTGAAAATGGGTACTAATGTAGGTCTTTCCTAAAAGCGAAGTGGCATAACATGAACTTTCAAAATTGGGGAATACCTGTGACTTGGAGTAGATCCAGGGTTTGGATTTAGGTCTTAAAGCTGCATCAGACAGTATGGAAGACAGATTTTTATCTACAGGATGTTCTCTCAGCTCTGTCAGCATCAGCTGAGCATTGACGGTGGTCTTTGGAGGTGGAGGAGGTTGGTCTTATAAAGCGTATTCTCTTTTAACTGTGTAGCCTGTTAATTCAGTTTTCATCTCCTGATTGGAGGGACTACTCAAATTTTAAATACAATATAAAATTTTTTTAAAAATTAGGTGTGAGCCACTTGAAAAGCTAGAAGTGGATAGGAAGGGTATGTGATGAGCTCAGCTTCCTTAGTAGGTGTTTATATTATCAATTTCCTTTGAATTTTTAACAGGCGGCCTTTTATTGTTAATTGTAAGTTATGTGCACTTAGGATGCAACCATGACTTTAGGTATATTTTAAATTTTCTTGATAAACAGATATTTGAATAAGCAACCAAGACGAGTTGACGGTACTTTTAGCGCAAACATTAGGGTAACGTTAGATTTGGTTTCTTTAAAGTGCGTGACCTTGGGTCTCTGCCTTGCTGAGTAAGACATTGACCTGTCCTTTGCTTCTCTCCTCAGGGGCTTCTTCAGCCACTATGCTGATCTTCATTCTTCCAGCAGTGTTTTATCTTAAACTTGTCAAGAAAGAACCACTTAGGTCGCCACAAAAGGTTGGGGTAAGTAAGGCTTGCAATTTCCGCCATTTTAAGTTGCTCTTCGACTACTTAGAGTAAAACAGAAAATACACGATTCAAAAAAATTGGTGAAGGAGAACCAAAAATCAGAGATGGGCTGGAACTCTAGTGGAGAGAAAGCGGGGTGGATTTCTGGTACTGAGATGATTCCAGGAGTTCTTCCTTTCTTATTATCAAGTATCTTGTGTTGAGTCCTTCCTACCTGTCAAACACTAATGGAGTTTTCCTGCAGGCATACATGTCTGCCAGTTTCCACTACCAAGACTGCAGCACTATCTACAGGAAATTATGTGGGAAGGAATTGGGCTCCCTGGCAGTGTTATGAGATAATTTAAACATCTTTAGTCATATCTGTTAGGTTTGTAAGGCCAAAAGATATTGCTTTGTTTCCCCCTCCATAGTGCCTTGGTGTAGACAGAGATCCAGAACAGAACCATTCCTTTTCCAGTTACTCTCTTTAGATATAAAATATAATATATAAAATATAATCTTATTAAACTAGAGCATGTTTCTTTTCCAAAATGATACTATAGAAACATATGCCAGAAATAATTGTTTTTCCCAATAATTAAATATTATCAATGACTATTTAATAAAGTCTTCCATTTAAGACTGAAAAACAATGCCCCTTAGTGAGTTACACTGAAATTTGCCTGAGAGTCCTTCACCGTTCAGGACTGTTCAGGGACTTCACAACAGTTTGGTATCAAAAATTCCTCCCATCGTCTCACCCCTGAATACCTACCCTCTTTAGTCCATCTTGCTTGGACTTTTAAGCAGTGTGACCTTGGCAGATTACTTGTCCTGTTTGTGACCTGTTCTGAGTTTGACCAGATGTAAAAATGAGTAAAAGTGTCTCCTACGTCCTTTCTAGTGAAAAAAAAAAAAAAAAAAATGGAGGTTGATCTGAGTGGTAATATATATATATATAAGGCCCCTTCTAGTGGTGTGTGTGTGTTTGATGTACACACGTTGCCTTTTTTTTTTTAAGGAATGTACGATATAGATGAGGCTTTTGTTTTCATTTTATAAAATTTAATCCTATCATATACCCTATGATACGCCCTTCTAGGGCTTGCCTTTTTTCACCTAAAAGATTGTGAGCACACCCAATGTCATTAAATCTTTTTCTGTCACTTGATTTTTAATGATTACAGGGTATTCTATCATTTCAATGTACCAAATCAACCGTTTCTTTATTTTGAGGATTTGGGTTAAATCACTCCACTGGATTCACCCTCTTCTCCCAACTCGGGTTCTAAATTCACTGAATTGCTAGGCACGGACATCTGAGCTATAAGAATAATACAATTCAACATGTCAATCAGATTGCTGCCTTAGGTAAACAACTTACAAGAGCAAACTGTGCGAAATATGGTTTCTGTGTGCCCTAACAAGTTCTCTCTGATTGACAGGCTTTAATTTTCCTTGTGGTTGGAATCATCTTCATGATTGGAAGCATGGCACTCATTATAATTGACTGGATTTACAATCCCCCAAATTCCAAGCATCACTAACCCAAGGAAAAATACTTTTTCTATTGGAAATGGTTGCAAATTATGCTGCAAAAGACATTTGAGTTCTATTGATTGGAATGTTATTCATAGGAAATAACAGGAGGATTCCAAAGATGTTTATAGTAACATCACCAGGCACCTATGGAAGAGAAAAAGCATCATTTGTGTCAAGAATGGCTGTTTATATGTTTAAAACTTGTGGTGCGCATTGCTACCCATGTTTTCCCAGAGCAGTATAAGAGGATGTATTTTTGCTATTGTGCAAACAGAATAAGGGTAGCTGCAGGTAATGGTCATCAGATACTACCCTTCCCTCTTCCCTCCAAATTACAAAATACTTGTATTCTTGGAACATCAAACAAAAATGCCCTGGTGGCAAAGCTTTCTAACTGCTTAATACCTTCCCCCAATCCAGCACCCAATACTCTGGGTTAATTGAATAACAGAAGCAAAAGGCAGGTCCCTCGAACTGTCCCTGTAAGGTACATGAATGATCGATCAGACAGCAGGCTAGAACATCTTACTCTCGCCAGTAAAGGAATATCTTGCCCATTTTGTTTGTGACATTGAATTAGTGACTTCTTCATTTAATAGATTTTTTGGTAAATGTTAAAACATCTGACTAAACACAGGCATACCTCGTTTTATTGTGCTTAGCAGATACTGAGGGGTTTTTTTTGTTGTTTGTTTTGTTTTGTTTTGTTTTACAAATTGTTTTGCGGCCACCTTGCATGGAGCACCATTTTTCCAACGGCATCTGCTCCCTGTGTGTCTCTGTGTCACATTTTGGTAATTCTCACAGTATTTCAAACTTTTTCATTATTATATTTGTGATGGTGATCTGTGATCAGTGATTAAGACTTGCTGAAAGCTCAGATCTGGTTAGCATATTTTCGCAATAATGTATTTTAATTAAGGTATGTACTTTTTTTTTTAGACATAGTAGGATTGCACACTTCGTAGACTATAGTGTAAACATAACTTTTGTATGTACTGGGAAACCAAAAAATCCATTTGACTTGCTTTCTTGTAATATTTGCTTTATTGCCGTGGTCCGGAACTGAACCTGCAATCTCCGAGGTATGCCTGCATGTCTTAGGATCTGTCCCTGTAAGGTACTGCATGTCTTAGGATCTGTCCCTGTAAGGTACATACATGAATGATCAGACACCAGGCTAGAGCACCTTATTGTCAACAGTAAAGGAATGTCTTGCCCATTCTGTTTGTGACATTAAATGAGTGCCTTCTTCGTTCAATATATATATTTTTTTAATAAACGTTAAAACATCTTGCTAAACAGAGAGAGGGACTTTATTTAAATGATAGAGCAACAACAAAAATAATGCTTATTGCTAAACTGCCTGTTCTGGAAGCGTTTGCTTTTCAATATTATTCCTAGTCCTCTTGTCATGCTTTTGTCATTGAACAATGCTCTCCCTCTCGTCTTCCATTGTCATCCAGAATTTTTAGATAGACCACAATTCATGTGGAGCTACATTACCCAGTATTGTTTGATACATTTTTATTTGATAAACATTCAGTGCAGGAAACTGTGATTGCTATATGTTTATGTATATAATCTTATTCTGTAGTCCTCTGAACTTTAATGTATGGTACATTTGATTTTTATTTTTTACATGTGTAGCTTTCTCTCTTCACAGTCAAAATGTTTATACTATTGAGGATGGGGGCAGGGAATTAAGTTGATGGACTCAGAAATCCATTTGTATGTATCTGTCTATTGAGGATATTTTAAATTTGAAACCTAAGTTATATATAGTTCAGTAATGCTCTCCAATGTTTACAATAATAACACAATCATCCACAGGAAAATAAGTTCCTCGTTTGCAAATAATTATCAGTACTAAGGTTGTTCTTTTAACTTAGCATGTCTACAATAGGATTTAGTTCATTTTGGTTTGCACAGGAGTTTGCTGACATTCATTTGTCATTTAACACAATGTTAAATGGCTCGCCATAAAAATAGAAGTGCTAACACTACAGAGAGATGAAAACTATTATTCTTTTTTTTTTTTTTTTGAAAACTATTATTCTTGATCACTTCTGCAACACACTTACATGAAATGGATTTAAAAACTAGCACTCACTGCCTAGAATTTCTGGAGTTTGCCACCTTCCCCCTCCAAGTCAGTAGCAAGAACATTTATTGTATATTTTTATATTTTGGTAAAGCCAAGTATGAAATACAAGTATCATATCAGTATAATATTAAATCATATTTCAATAGTTGCTTTGGAATGTGCCTTAATATACATTTGTTTTATGTATCATTTTCTAAAGGCATAATACTGTCAAATGGTGCACTTTGTTATGGAAATTGAGCATTACTAGAAACTATCATAACTTTTGAGTCATTATTATAACTTGCCAAAGAGCATCTTCAAGATAGGTTTCCATTTATGTTCACCTAAAGAGTATATCAAAATAGAAAGTGGAAAAGGTACCTTCTGAGTATTAAAACAAAAAGAAAAAGAGGTTTAATCTGAATGTATTTAAATGTAAATATCAAAGATTAATTCAAAAGAATCGGGAAAGTATAAAATTTGTATGTATTTTGAAATGACTAACTTGAAAATATCGACCTCGGTAATTATACAGATATTCAAGAGCAATACTACCGTGCCAAATAATGAAGCACCATTTTTCTTCTCATGGCCATTTTCAGGATTAGAGCTCACACAGACTGCAGGGCAGACTTACATATGGTATCTTGTACCGGTTAATTTAACCCCATTTATGAACAGATAAAAATTTTATTTTCTTATTTCATTTATAAGATGGTTCAATGTACTGGGAGGCTTTTTTTTTTATTACAGAAAGTGTATATTGGTATATAATAAATGAACTTTTCAAATGACTATGATTTTTTTTCTGTTGTTGAAAGCTATAAATTATTTGTACATGAAAAACATCTCAAGTCTAAATATGGTCTTCCGTCTATTGGCATATGTTCCATTTTCATTGTTACTCTTGATGTGTAAATAACCTTGATAGCTGTCAAAGAAAAATAGTTGCCATCTTCTTTTGGCAAAATACACAGCTAATTCTCATTTTCATTTATGTCATCACATACATACCTCCTAGAATGGATGTGGGAAAACGTGTCTCTTTATGGTTAATTAGGGAGAATTCACTTAGGATGAAACAAGAATGGAAGAAATATGAAAGTAGTCAAATAAAGACATGGAAGATGTGGAAGAAGGAAAGCAACGTGGGAGTGCAGAGGATTGGGTTGAGACTGCCTGGTGGTGGGACTGACGGTACCTGTGCTAAGTTATGCGCCTGACTTTCTAGGAAACTTCCAAGTAGTTCTCCAGAGTGTTTCCACCATTTTCATTTACCAAGAATATATATGGGCTCCAGTTGTTTCACAGCTTTGCCAACACTGGGCATTGTACTTTATAGCCTTTCCCGTGGGTGGGAAATGGTATCTCTTTGTGATTTTCATTCCATTTCCCTGGTGACTAGTGTTGGAAATTTCCCGTGTGTTTCATGGCCATTCAGGTTTCCTTTTGTGAAGTGTCTTTTCCAGTCTTTCACCCATTTTAATTAAGAATGAGGTTGTTTGTCTTTGTATTGTGGATGTGTCAGCTCTTTATATATTCCCGACACATGTCCTTTGTCAGATGGCAAATGTATTTTCTCAGGCTAGGACATGCCTACTCATTTGCTGAATGTTATCTTAATTCTATCTTTCTGGGGCCATGTCTTTATAGCTTAAAGCTCTGTAATTCCTGTCTTACTGAGATAAAATTAATTAGGATGGTATTGTTATAATTAATGTTTAGATTTTCAAATATGGAGAGTAAGTCTTCTTTTTCTCTTTTTTTGGGGTGGGGGTGGGTGGTATGTGTTCTTGCCTTGTAGTCAGCTTTATTGAATACATGCGAATATCATTCTTGTTTTATAGATTACAGGTAATGGACTAAAAATAGCCTTTGCTAAGTCACTTTGACTCTTGGTTAGGAGGCCCAGTCCTACTTAGATAGGCCCAGGACCTCAAAAGCCCTTTGTGGCTGCTTGTAATCAACTTCATCAGTTTCCTCAGCCCTTGTTATAGGCACATCCAGATGAAGCAGAAGAAATCACTCCATGTGGGTCTTATGCACCAGCTTGGAAGTTGTATCATTTCCTCTTGACTCTGTTCTCATCCATGTGGGAAGCTGTTCGCAGGGCCTTTGCTTCTATGGCATGTACTCTCGTGACTATCTTTTCCCAAGAAAATAGTGGGTACTAATTATTCAATAGACCCTATTGAAGAAACTGAAAAAAAAAAAAATCAGTTTAGAGCCTTTCTTCACACCACACAGCAAAGTGGAAAAACGAAATAAGAAAGGCAATACATAAGCAACAGCATTTTAGGAAGAACGACGTGACAGCTGCCTGAGGGAGTAAGACACGGTGGAGGAAATTACAAGGCCAACAATGGATCATGGGACTATACAGCAGTATATTAGAGCAATTAACAAAACACCAACTCCTATAAAATACAGGCCAACACGTCCTTAATGTAGGAAGATATAAAAACCAAGAAGGGAACTATTAAGAATCTAATAGATGAATGGGCAATGGATATGAGATCACTGAAGAAAAATAAATTGTTTGATCTCACTAGGAGTCAAAGACATGCAAGTAGGGGCGCCTGGGTGGCTCAGTCGTTAAGCATCTGCCTTCGGCTCAGGTCATGATCCCAGGGCCCTGGGATCGAGCCCCACATCGGGCTCCCTGTTCCGCAGGAGGCCTGCTTCTCCCTCTCCCACTCCCCCTGCTTGTGTTCCCTCTCTCGCTGTGTCTCTCTCTGTCAAATAAATAAATAAAATCTTAAAAAAAAAAATTAAAAAAAAAAGACATGCAAGTAAAAACACAAGTACAATGGTTTTGTCTTACTAAATAAGAAAATTTTTTTTCTAAAATAAGAAAAGTTAATCCTTTGTGCTGGTGAGTGTGCGGAGCTGAACACTTATTCAACGCTGGTGGCAGAAATCTTGGCTCCGCGTCCCTGGAAAGCATGCTGGCAACACTTGAAGATCCCTAAGGATGTTTGTAGTAAGGAGAACAGCCCCCCAAAGATCTAATCACATGAGCCCTCAAAATCAGAGAACTTTCTTCACCTGAAGTCAGAAAGAGTCAAAGCATAAGAGGGACTCAAACTGCCACTGCTGGGCTTAAAGATAGAAGAGACCATGTGGAAACAGAAGGAAAGGAGTTCTGCCAACAACTTAAATGAGCCAAGAAAATGGTTCTCCTCCTGAGCCTCCAGCTAGGAGCCCAGGGCACCACCACTTCGATCTGCTTGAGAGACCTTAAGCAGAGTACTCTGCTAAGCCAGCCAGACTTCTGACCTCCAGATCTGAGAAGTAATGAAGGAGTGCTGTTTTAAGCTCCTAAATTTGTGAAAATTTGTTACCGCAACAGGAAACTAGGAAATACAATGTTCATGGTTTTTGATCCACTAACTTCTTTTCTAAGGATCTATTCTTAGGAAGAAATCAGAGAAGTGAATTCACTTCTGTCCACTAATGTATTCTTTCACCATAAAATGAGCTACATTTTTGAAGCACTCCAAATGTCCAAAACTGTGGAATGACAATAAATTCTAAGACCTTCATAGGCTGGAATAGGACAGCCATTAAAAATGTTTTTGACTAGGGATGCCTGGGTGGCTCAGTCGGTTAAACGTTTGCCTTTGGCTCAGGTCATGATCTCTGGGTCCTGGGGTTGAGTCCTGCATTGAGTTCCTTGCTCATCAGGGAGCCTGCTTCTCCCTCTGCCTGCCGCTCCCCGTTTTTGTGCTCTCTCTTTCTGATAAATAAATAAAAATCTTTAAAAAAAAGGTTTTGAATAATCACCAATAAAATGAAAAACTATAGTATAACATTAAAGTGGAAAAAAATGGGGCACCTGGGTGGCTCAGTCGTTAAGCATCTGCCTTCGGCTCAGGTCATGATCTCAGGGTCCTGGGATCAAGCCCCACATCAGGCTCCCTGCTCAGCAGGAAGCCTGCTTCTCCTTCTCCCACTCCCCCTGCTTGTGTTCCCTCTCATGTTGCCTCTCTCACTGTGTCTCTGTCAAATAAATAAATAAAATATTTTTTAAAAAGTGGAAAAAACAAGAACAAATGCTTCATTATACCAGTTTTACATATTAAAAATGCATGGAATAGAAAAATAGAGACAGGAAGAAAGGAAATAGACATAAATGATAAAAGTAGATATCCTAGGTAGCAAGATAATAAGTGATGTCAGTCTTCATCCTCCAATATTTCTGTTATTTTCTAAATTTTTTACAGAGACTATATATTCTTTTATAGTTATAAAAAATGTAGAGAAACATTTTTCTATCAATTTATATTTTCTGGAAAAAACTAAAACATGCTGCCAATTTCTATACATTTTTATATTTTCAGCTGAGTCCAAAGGCAGAATTGGATGAGAGTATGATTCACAATTAGGGAACAGTCATTGATGACTGAAGCAGAAGCTGAAAGGATGGGGCAGCACCTCTCCAGAGGTGGGGCATGTGAAGGACTTAAAGAAGAATGGGGTAGCATAGCCAGTAGACCAGAATTTCAGATCCATCCTTTGGGCAAGTCATTTAATTTTATTGAGCTTCAGTTTTTTTCCTTTCTGTTGGTATAATTTCTGTGTGATGCAGTTCCCAAGATGATTTAGCTTGGAATTCATTGGAATAGAAAGCCCTTATAGCATAGTCACATCTCTAGTACAAATGCTTGATAGTCATAAGTCAAGGATCACCGGAGAGGTCCAAAGCACCTTGCAGCAATGACTTCTGCAGCTCGGTCCTGAACGTGAGTTAGATTAAGTCAAATGCTTCTGGGGAATACTCCACCTTGCCACTCAGGCAGAATAATTTTAAAGGACATTCAGTGTAAACCATGCATCAGATACTGTCCTAGGCACAAGAATACAGAGTAGTCCTTGTCTTTAAGGAGCTTATAGTATAGAGGAGGGGGCACATGTATCAAATACTTATAATATCAAATGGTGAATGTTCTACTATATACTCAGGATTCCATGGAGCCTCTAAGGGGAATGCTCAAATCAAGCTTGGGGAAAGAAGAGTAGTCAGATTTCAGGCAGCAGATGCCCATTTAGTTGAATCCTAAAGGACACACTGAAGTTGTAAGGCAAGAAGATGGAGAAGCAGAGCAGCATGCACAAAAACATGATTCCTCCCACGACTCTCCACTCCACACATACACAGACACATATATGCATACACCTTCCACACACTCTGTATTAGATTCCTTTTGCTGCTGTAACAAATCACCACACACTTAGTAACTTAAAAGAACACATTTTATTATCTTACAGGCAGCTCCAGCAGGGATCACTAGAAGCCCCAGCAAAATCATATAAACCAAGCAGACCAAGTAAAACAACAAAGATTCTTAAAATTAAACTGATTAGTACTATGGCCAGAAAGTAGGCCAAGATGTGTGTGCCAAATCTAAACAGAGTGACTGCTTGCTACAATAAGAGATTTTAATGGAATGTCTGATACACAATTGAAAACCATCCCATACCAAGAACCAAGAAAATTACAACTTGAATAAGATAAACTGATGTGAACACTGGGATAAATCAGATATTCAAATCACCTAGCAAGAATTTTAAAGTAGGCATCCTAAAATTGCTTCAATAATCAAATTATAAATTCTCTTGAAACAAATGAAAAAATAGAACATCCCACAAAGAGACTGAAGCTTACAAGAAGAGAACCAACTGGAAATTATAAACTGAAAAATATAACAGAAGTTTAAAGAAAAATTCATTGGCTGTGCTCAGAATGGAGATGGAGAATTAGAATCAGCATACCTGAGTAAGTATCAATAGAATTCATCCAATTTGATCAAAAAAGAGGAAAGAAACTAGGAAAAAAAAAAATAGAACAGAACGGGGCTATAGACCTGTGTGACAAAAACAAAGTTAACATTTGTATTAACGGAGTCCCAGAAGGAAAAGAGATGGATTAAGGCTAAAAGACAATTTGAAGAAATAATGGCTGAGAACTTCCCAAATTTGGTGAGAGATACTTAAAAAGCTCAGTGAATTCTCAAAAGGAAAACCCAAAGAAATACACACAAATAATCATCAAAATTTCTGAAAACTAAAGATAAAGAAAAAAATCTTGAAAGCATCCTGTGAGAAACACATTACCTCTAGGGGAACACTCATTTGAATGTCTAAGGATTTCTTATCAAAACACATGGGTATCACAAAGAACCAGCACACCATTTTTCAAGTGCTGGGAGAAAAGTTTCAACAGTAAACTCTATATCCAGCAAAACTATCTTTCAGGAATAAAGGGGCAATAACATTCTTAGAAAAAGGAAAACTAAGTGAATGGTTGCAGGCCTACCCGTAAAGATGCACTAAAGAATGTTCTTCAAACTGAAAATGATAAAAAAAACAAATGTTAGAAAAATCAGGAAAGAACAAAGGAAAGACCAGAAATATGGATATATACAATAGACTACCCTTTTCTTCATGAGCTTCATAAATATGTTTTCTGATTGAAACAAAAGTTATCATCACCTAATATTCAAGGCAATGATTTTTTTTAAGTGGAGAAGGTAAAAGGGACTTCTAGAAATGAGGTTTTCACAATTTGCTCCAGGTGGTAAAATGTTGATACCAGTACACTGTGATGAGTCTTATATGTATCCTACAATACCCAGAGCAACCGCTACAAAAACTATACAAAGAGATACACTGAGAAATGCTATAACTAAAGATGAATTTCTCAAAAATGTTTAAGTAAACTACGGGAAACCAAAGAAAGAAACAGAGGAATGAGAACGAGAAAAAACAAAGAGACAATCATAAAATGGCAGACTTTAGCAATAAGATCAATAATTACTCAAATGTAAATGGTCTGAGTACACCAATAAAAAAAAAAACAGATTAAAAGAATAAATAAAAATGACCCAACTATATGCTGATAAGAAACTCACTTCAAATTCATTGACACAGGTAGGTTGGAAGTAAAAGGATATAAAAAGATATACATGCAAAAAAAAAAAAAAAAAAGAAAAGCAGGCTTTGCTATATCCACATTGGATAAAGTAGACTTCAGAGAAAAGAAAACTATTAGAGACTAAAGGTGTTCCTTTGTTCCTTTTATTATGTATCTGACAGGGGTGATCCAGCAGGAAGACATACTAATCCTAAATTTGCACACACACCAAATAGCAGAGCTTCAAAAGACATTACCTTCTCCACTCCTTTTGTCTTTTGAAA